ACTTTTATAACAGAAACAAAGAAAAACTTTTTTTTTTCAAACGTTTTGGTCTTTTTTTGTTAATTTAGCAAACAATAAAAACCCCAGCGGTGATTAAATACCACCAAAAGAAAGCTCTAGTTGTGTGAAGAAAATGATAACATTTTAGTTTGGGTACAATGTTGTATGACCGCGCAATTGTCATTCAAAGTGTGAGAGCGCTGAAACCTGAAAACTGGCCTGGGCAGGAAGGTGTAAAAGTGCCCGGTATGGAAGCAGTTAAGGTGCATTCATCACTTACTATCATGAGTTGTCAGTCACATCTCATGTTCCACCATGTAATCTCAGAATACGATTGTATATATGAACAAGGTATCTCGGTGCTGCCAATCAATGCATAAGAATCGATCATTTTCTGCCCTGCCCAGTTCACTCAGTTTGATTGCATCCAAGCAAGTCTAAACCAATCAGCAGTGAAGTTATGGCTATTCAATTTTTTGCTGATTTGATTGTTTTGATCAAATCACAGATCGATTGGATAAAAAAAAACGAGTGTATGGACACCATTAGGCTCTGCAGTTGCCCTGGTGCTGCACACGTCATCAGTTATGACAGCAGCCATTTGATGGCTTGACACGTTAGTTGAGAGCACAAGCAACTGCGACAGTTATCACTCACAGCATGCCTTTAACCTCCCTGGCGGTATTCCCGAGTGTAGCTCGGGGTAAAGTTTCAGCACCACAAGCGGTAACCCCAAACTACACTCGGGAATACCTTGTGCGCTGCTCCAGGATCTATTCTTCACTTACCTTGTCCTGCGCTCCTGCGATGTCCCTCCTGCAGTGTCCCCGGCAATGTCCTCCGGCCGATGCCGGCATCTGTCTTCCGGGTTCCGTTCCCTGCGATGTCAGGACGTACGGGGATGGAACTGGCGGGAAATTTGAAAATTGTAGAAGTGACATTCACTGAATTCACTAAAATCACATAGTATTACATTACTGTATCAAACCATTTCACATACATTTTGTCCCGAGTGCTTTGTCCTGTGCTCTGCCTGCATTTTTACTGTTCTTTCTGCCTGGAAACTGAGAGCAACGTCCATGGCGTCCAAAAAGCGTCCCTTTAGGTCAAAAGCGGTTTTAGACCAGCTAGAGAACAGCGATAGTAAATTTGAACTACTTGCAGAATTGAGTGATAATGATTCGTGGGGAAATTCGTCATCAGACACTGAAAACGATTCTGCGACTGAACTCAGTGATGTGCGAACTTGGCGCTATATTTAAAATTTCAGTGTTTTTGGTTTGATTATATTATTTAATTAAATTTATTATATTATTTTTTTATGATTATTTCTTAAATTATAATTTATGATTTCGTGTTTCAAATTTTGTCATACCCAGAATGTTTACTAGACTCTTGTTCAGACAGATTTCAGTGAGTTATTCCTAAAAATTACAGGCCTACAATAAAAAAAACTACATATTTCCATGCAAAAAAAATGTACCGCTTTGAGCACAGAAATACTGACAGAATCAGACCGCCAGGGAGGTTAATGGTACTATGTTGGAAATAGTTAAATGCATGGGTTTCACTCTGCTTTAGGCTAGGTTCACGCCCATGCAGTTTACATTTGATCCTTTTTTTGCGGTGCGTTTTGCATTTTTGCACATGCGTTTTTGATGCATTTTGCTTTCTTTTTTTCAACTTGTTGCTAGGCAGAATAAAACACATAAAAAATGCACAACAAGCTTTTCTCCAGCATCTCCATTGAAGTAGAAAGCACCAAAAATGCAGCGTTTTGCATTTAAAAAAGTCCCTGACCATTTCCAGAAAACGCGTAGATGTGAACCTGTCCCATAAGAAATCATGTTAACTGAACTTCTATGCATTTCAGTAAACGCAGCGGAAAACGCATAGATGTGAAACCAGCCTTAGGCTTGAAGAAGTACATGAGCCTCTTCGCGGCAGAGTCACGCATTTCTGGAAAGTATAGACTTCAGTGGGAGTGCCTGATATACACACGTAATGAGCATTTCTTTCTGCAATTCCTTGCCTCACCTGTCAGTAACTAGCCCTTCATTGCCCCTCAAGCCTGAAAATGCCCAAAGAATGCCTGTAAAAACACACCAGGAAAAAGTTGAAAACACTTGCTGAAATGTGAATGTGGGGCCGAGCACAGGATTGGATTGGATGGTTCAGAAAGTTGAAACTGTTTTCAGTTCATGCTACAGCATGGAAAATCATTGCATGCCTGGGCAACATTGGGCCTATATTACATCTGGGCTCAGGGGCAGTAAAAATATGCAGTTGAGCTGCGCTTTTACTATGCCTTGACCATCACCCTTAAAGTGAAACTAAATATTAAAAGTGGGCAAACAAGCAGGATTTTTAAAGCAGCAGAGGTATGCTGTGTCTCTTTTGCATTACAGTTACCTACCTGCCTGTCCACCCCTGTATGGTGAGCTGTGCACGCGCAGTTCATTGTACGAATGCGCCAATGCCGTGCTGATTGAACTTCCATGCATGTGTGGGAGTGACGTCATCTTGGCCTGGTGTGTGATATTTGGAAGACAGCCAACTGAAGATGTCAGGGGCCATGGAGCTTTGGGGCGCCACGTTGCTGGACTGAAGCGGAGTATATCTTCACATGCTACATCTGGTTTATGGCCACAGCAACATTTATACCTCCTGCAGATTTGGTCGGCAGTATCACTGTCAATCGCAACCCATCCAAGTGAATGGGGCGGTGCCACAGTTGTGGTGGTTCAGGCATTCAAGTTTAAAACAGGCAGTGAGGAGGTGACATAAAGCCTCCTAGCCACCTGTAAAATGCCCTCTGCAAACTGATCCGCTGTGGATCGCTCTTTAGAGTTTGACGCTAGTGTACACAAACCCTAACACTGTCAGGGGTGCCTGAGTGGCTCCAGGAATATTTGTTATTGCTAGCCATATAAATAAGGACTGTTATCACAATGTTATGCTGGCCATACATGTCACAGTAGGAAATCAATTACAGATGAAATCACCAAAGAACAGAAGGATTTGGTATTATTTGATTGTGAAGAAAGATCGATCGTACTGCATTGAGATGTTGTTAGTGATCGCTCAGCACACCGTGTGATCAGTTTCTTTCATCTGAACAATTGCATTATGAGTGGTATAATGAGACTCTTTCCACTGTCAGATCGGTCTGTATATACATATGGTGAAAATACAAATACAGTTGCAAGAAAAAGTATGTGAACCCCTTGGGATTACGTTGCGTTTGGCATGAATTGGGCATAAAATGTGCTCTGAACGTCATCTAAGTCACAACAATAGAAGAACACAGTCTGCTGAACATAATACTACACAAACATTAGATGTTGCCATGGTTTAATTGCACATAACATGTAAACATTCATAGTGCAGGGAGGAAAAAAGTATGTGAACCTTTGGACTTAATAACTGGTTGACCCTCCTTTGGCAGCAATAACCTCAACCAAACGTTTCCTGTAGTTGCAGATCAGACCTGCACAACGATCTGGAGTAATTTTGGACCACTCCTCTTCACAAAACTGTTTCAGTGTAACAATATTCTTGGGATGTCTGGTGCGAATCGCTCTCTTAAGGTCATGCCACAGCATTTCAATCAGGTTGAGGTCAGGACTCTGACTGGGCCACTCCAGAAGGCGTATTCTGTGCTGTTGCAGCCATTGTTTTGTTGAATTACTTGTATGCTTTGGGTCATTGTCCTGTTGCATCACCCATCCTCTGCGGAGCTTCCGTTGGCGGACAAATGGTCGTACGTTTTCCTGCAAAATGTCTTGAAAAACTCTGGAATTCATTTTCCCATCAACGACAACAATCCGTCCAGGCCTGAGGCAGCAAAGCAGCCCCAAACCATGATGCTTCCTCCGCCATGTTTTACAGTGGGGATGAGGTTTTCGATGTTGGTGTGCTGTGCCTTTTTTTCTCCACACATAGTGTTGTGTGTTCTTCCCAAACAACTCAATCTTGGTTTCATCTGTCCACAGTATATTTTGCCAGTAGTGCTGTGGAACATCCAGGTGCTCTTTTGCAAACTTCAAACGTGCTACAATATTCTTTTTGGACAGCAATGGCTTCCCCCGTGGTGTCCTCCCATGTACTCCATTCTTGTTTAATGTTTTCCTTATTGTAGATGTGTCAACAAAAATGTTAGCATGTGCCAGAGATTTCTGTAGGTCTTTAGCTGACACTCTGGGATTCTTCTTTACCTCATGCAGCATTCTGCGCTGTGCTCTTGCAGTCATTTTTACAGGATGACCACGCCTAGGGAGAGTAGCAACAGTGCTAAACTTTCTCCTTTTGTAGACAGTCTGTCTTACTGTGGGACACATGAACATCAAGGCTTTTGGAGATACTTTTGTAACCCTTTCCAGCTTCATGCAAGTCAACAATTCTTGATTGTAGGTCTTCTGAAAGCTCTTTTCTGCGAGTCGTGGTTCACATCAGACAGTGCTTCTTGAAACCAGTAAACCCAAAACAGGTGTGTGTTTTTTAAGGGCAGGACAGCTGTCAGCAACACATCCAATATCATCACACTGATTGGAGTCAAGGTTGGCTCACTCCTGCTCCAATTAGCTCTGGGAGAAGTCATTAAGGTAGGGCCTCACATACTTTTTCCTCCCTGCACTGTGAATGTTTACATGTTATGTGTAATTAAACCATGGCAACATGGCAACATTTGTGTAGTATTATGTTCAGCAGACTGTGTTCTTCTATTGTTGTGACTTAGATGATGTTCAGAGCACATTTTATGCCCAATTCATGCAAAACTCCACGTAATCCCAAGGGGTTCACATACTTTTTCTTGCAACTGTATGTAAAATAAAAGCCATGATTTCCTGAACACAATCATTACATGTGTTCATAGGCATGTGCACAGGGTGCGCCGTTGTGACTGGACACACCCTAATCACCCCGTGTGCATTAGCAGTATTTCTCTGTGTGCCAGTGAGGAGACGGGATAGATCTCCTACTGTGTGGCTCTCCTTATAAGAGGAGCAGGGGTGGACTGACCATTTGGAAACTTGGGCACTGCCCGAGGGCCCGGGGTCAGTAGGGGGCCCCATGAGATGCCCCTGGTACCTTTTTCATAGGCTTTTTTGAGTTTGGGCAAGGACACAGTATTGCCCCATGATCCCGTATTGCCCGGGGGCCCCATGAGTTGTCAGTCCGCCCCTGAAGAGGAGTAAGCATTTCTCTTTCACTCTGAATCTGCAGGCAGGGAGATCAATAAGATACGCATGTGTGTTTGAGCTTTGGGGTGCACACCCTAATACAATAGGCTGCACACACATATTCATGTATTACCAGCGTACGGTCCTCAGGATAGATTATTTTTGGAGCTGGGAGTCCACTAAGACATTGAGATATATCAGACAGAGAAGCTGGGGACACATACAGTCGATTCGTCTTTTTCCTCTATTTTCCCTGATCTGGTGGACATTTGTTCAATTCTGCACGCACAGTGCTGTGTTTTTTTAGCTCTGTTTATGATCCCGTTTGATCACCATTCAGTCAATTTGTGTTGTACAAGTTCCAGCCTTTCCTGGCAGCAGTCAGAACAAGGTAAGATGGTTTCCCCCATCTAACCATGACAGGTACCCATGTGTGCCCTGGACAAATCTCTGATGAAGTGAGGCAATGCTGGCGTGATTCGGGGAATTTCTAAATGATTGTCATTTCACTATTTTGGTGAGTTTAAAATAATGCTGCATCCCTTTGTAAGTATTGAAGCTGGCACAGGGTGGTGCAGAATATTGCAGCTAAACAGCTCTGCAGTGCCGCTGATAAAGCTTTAAAAGGTGAACTTTGGCTGGCACACAGTGGGCACTAAAGGAAGGTACCTCTATTCCTCTACAGTCTTGTAGAATAGACGCTGGCACAACTTAGCTGCCAGGGGCCCTACCACTATCAAACATCTTCACGGGGACAGTAAGGTCTCAGTTGCACTGGCAGTGACATATACGTGTTTGGAGGACATGGCCATGTAATGATTTGTCTAGCCCCTTTGTGTCCGATCCTGGCATTTTAATGTGCCTAGAAGGCATAGGTGCAGCATCCAGCCCAGCAGGCTAAAATAATTCAGAAAAAATGAGGAAGGGTTTGTAACAGCGCAAACACTGCAAAGTCCTGGGAAATGGTAGTATGGGGTGATGGTGGTATTAGTGGCTACTGTATGAAGAGCGTAGGATTCCATGTGGCACTGAGGGCAAGGCTTCCAAATAAGCTGTAGCAACTTCTGTAGATGAGAAAAAGGAGAGAAGCGCCTCTAAGTGCAATAAGTCTTTTAATTCAAGTCTAAATGTAGAAACACTCACATGTGTGAAGTAATCATAAGCATAAAAACCGTGGTTAACAATAGTTAACGGTGGGGTGGTAACCCGGGTGAAGAGCCGTCATCTTACTGCGATGTGGGGAGGTCAGCTCTCGGCTGGAACAGCGTGGTGGCTGGAGGGGGAACAGCGGTGAGGCCGGCCTGCATGCACGTCCTCCCTCAGAGCCGGATGGAACGCACGCTGGAACGTAGCGCCGGCGTGGCCGTGATGACGTCAGATCCCAGGGTGCACTGCAACGCGTTTCGGAGCATGCACTGGCCGTGGAAGGCGAAAGTGCACTCCTTTTTCAAGCATCGCAGTAAGATGACGGCTCTTCACCCGGGTTACCACCCCACCGTTAACTATTGTTAACCACGGTTTTTATGCTTATGATTACTTCACACATGTGAGTGTTTCTACATTTAGACTTGAATTAAAAGACTTATTGCACTTAGAGGCGCTTCTCTCCTTTTTCTCAGCAGGCTAAAATACTCTGTGGCTGAATGCTGTACCAAATGTTATTCACATTTAGGATGGATGTCCATGTGGACGTTGGTGTGATGGATGTTCCTCGTGACTGTAAGCCCCCCAGGTTCTTGGGCTACGCCAGGCAGTGTGGGTGGGGCCTACAGCGCCCATGCACTAGGGGTACATTTATCCGAGGGCGCGCTTACCAATGTCTGGGACCAGGTGGGAACTGCGGTCATGTGAACAGTCTAATATTAAGGTGGTCCCCCGACTTAGAGGTGAGCTAATACTGCATGCAGAACGAAGATGAGGTCCTGATAAAGTGTTGCCCCATGGCTCTACATACAGTGACTATTAAGTGTCGCATTTGGAGTGGTGGGTAGAGCCGCACTGTCACGTACCTGATGGGAGACTGAATTGACGAGGTCGGCCTCATTTGTGTCACTAGCCCTGACCCCGCTGATGTTGGAACAGAGGAGTCTAGGGACCAGGGGGACAAGAGCGCCAGTGGTTGTTGTTTGCAGCTCTTGCAGATGATAACCTTGGAAGGCGGATGATCCTTAGATTTGGACACCGTAGTAATAGGCAGAGCAGGTTTTGTGGATTGCCAGGCGTGCAGCAGAGCAAGGTAGGTAGTGAGGACAAGAGACTGGAGCAGAGTCATGGGATAGCCAGGGTCATCAACAGTCGGGCAGCGCGGTACAGAATCAGAAGGAAAAGCCAAAGTCAGGAGCAGAGTCGAAGTCAGGAACCAGTATCAGGAGAGTAATCGAAGTCGGGTCAGGAACAAGCCGGGTTGATAACAGAGGAATCGTACAGGAACAAGCAGGACATGGGGGGAGCTGAAGACCAGTCAGCACTGAACATGAGTAGAGGCACTCCTTAAATGGGCCGTCTGGCGCCAATCTTCGCGTGCGTGTGCAAGTGCGTGTGCGCGATCGCGCATTCCTTCACACATGCGCAAAACCGGCAATTCTTCTGCGGTAATTCCTATGCGCATGCGCATTCCCAATCGCGATTCTTCTTGCCGGAAATCCCTTACACGCACCACCTCCACCAGCCAGCATACCTCTGTTACCTCCCAGTAACAGAGTGAGATCTCGTCAGACACATAGCATGGATCTTATGCGTGTGCTATATTAACTCCTTCCATACCTGACAGTCAGGCTGAGGACCTCCTTAACGCTGGTCTGCTCCCGGCTGCTCTAGGAGACAGATCACTAGGGAGGGAGTGAAAACACTGACCCCCTCACTACCAAAGGACACCCCGCCTTACCAAGGTACCCTTCTAGTGCTTTACAGACCCGGAGTAATTTAGCATATCTACAATATGACACTCATACACCCCTTTCAGTAACTTCAGATCAGGCTCAACACAGTTAACCTCTACACGCCAAGCGTATGCTCTGCGGCTGTGTCTTGTAGCCGAGCGCGCCCGCGTATTTGCGTACATTTGTAAACCAACGTGCTGAGAGCTCGCGCATGTGTCGAGGTCCCACGGAAAGGTCCCATTCTATCCTTGCGATTGGGACCTTTCCCATCATGTGACTGCCGATCACGGCGGTCACATGACCCTAAACCCCGCCCTGCCTCCCAGCGTCCGAAACCCCTTAAAGGGCCAGAAGGCACCAGCGTGAAGGGGTTAATAAGTTTTACTTAAAGTCTTGCAGAGTAACATAATAAAGTGCAAACAAAGTCCAGAACATCCTAACCCTGACTGTTTAGTGGCTGCCCAGGCATACCTTTGAGAAGAGAAAGTCCATTAACTGGCAGAAGTCCATACTCGGCAGAGCTGCAGTCTGTTGTGGAACTAAAAGGTGCAGCAGCCCCACAGCACCTTCTAGTACAGGCTTCTCTCTCCCTCCAGGCATAAAGGTTTATATCCTTATCTGTGAGCCTCCTGCTTCTTCCCATGTGGCAGGTCTCATCTGGGCAGAGCCTTCCCCCTTTTTATATGATACAGAGAGGAAGGCAGAGCCCTGCAGAAAGCCCATGTGCCAGCAGAAATAACATTAACACTTTCCTAACCTGGGCAGACTAGCTGGCTCACTAACATGATATATTCTTCTTGTAGGCAACTGTCTACAGCCTGCCTACACCTGGAATGCAGAATACCTGCACCTGTGCCTTCTGAGCACATTAACACGCCAAGGTTTCAAGCACTGGGACTAGATGCCTCGTGTGCAACTGTCCTAAATGGTATAATTCACAATGGATTTGATTTACTAAAGACAAATAGACTGTGCACTTTGCACGTAAAGTTGCTCATTAGTAAATGAGGAGAAGCTCAGCTGACTTCCATCATCCAATCATATGCAAGCAAATATGTTTTTTTTTTAACCACTTCCAGTCCGGACACTTTTGCCCCCTTCCTGTCCAGGCCAATTTTCAGTTTTCAGTGCTACCACACTTTGAATGACAATTGCATGGTCATGCAACACTGTACCCATATGAATTTTTTAGCATTTTTTCGAGACAGATAAAGCTTTATTTTGGTGGTATTTATCCACCACTGGGATTTTTATTGTTTTTTTGCTATGTAAATTAAAAAGTCCAAAAATTTTGAAAAAATATGTTTTTCTTATACAATTTTGCAAATAAATAGTATTTCATTATAAATCTTGGCCAAAATGTATCCCGTTATATTTTTAGTAAAAAAAAAATAACCCAAATTAGTTTATAACCAAAAATTATAATTTTTAAACATTTGTTTTAAATTTTTTTTAATATTAACTTTTTTAAATTAATTTATTTATTTATTTTACATACTGTCACGCTAGCAGTGCAGTGTCACCATGGTGACACTGTACTACTTTTGGGGGGTGATGAAGATTTTTTTTTTTTTTACACTGATTGCTTTTACACCCATAAAGGATGTAAAAGCAATACTTTTTCCTTCTCTCTAGCTGCATTCTTGCAGCCATTGAGAACTACTGAGTGAGCTGTGATTGGTCACAACTTGTCACATGGTACAAGGCTGTTGTGAATAGCCTTTTACCATGTGACCTCTGTGATCATTCACAGATTTCACACGTAGTAAGCAATGATGTCACAAGTGACATCTTGCTTACTACTCTGCGTGTGATTACTGATTGGTCAATCAGTGAGCACATGATCGGGACCTCGTACAGAGGTCCCGTCCGACGATTCGGTGCACTGGATCGCGGTGCTGCGCGCTCCCAGGCAGCGTGCACAAGCAGGGTGGTGGAGGCTGTTTATAAATGGCCACCCGACCCTGCACTGCCACCGTTCGGCTGTTTATATACGACGGCCGGATGGGAGGTGGTTACATTTTTCTTGCAGGTGATTGAGTATTCTTTGCAAAGTGACGTTTTACCTCATTTACTAAGCTCTGGAGCAACTGCACTTGCAAAATGCACCATCTATTTGTCTTTAGCAAATCAACCCCAATGCACCTTTAGGCACATTCATCATACCTGCTTTTAGAGAAAATAGAATTCTGTGCATCCAGGGGCAGATTATATACTCTGAACACATGTCAAAATATATAAAATGTACGTAAACTACTGCAAACACAAGTAAATGGGGTGGTAAAATCACTGGTCAAGCGCCTGACCACCCATGTGAATGAGCCCTTAACGCAGAGGTGGGCAACTGCAGCCTTCCAGCTGTTTGTGGAACTACATGTCCCATGAGGCATTGCAAGATAGACAATTACAAACATGACACCCAGAGCCAGAGGCATGATGGGACTTTTAGTTCCGCAGGAGTTGGAGGGCCGCAGTTGCCCCCTCCTGCCTGAATACCGATTTGCCCAAAGAACTTGATCTGGGATGCATACCATTCTTTGTACTTCTCAGATCATTTCTCCTGTGCTTAAATAAATCAGAGGCAGGAGGGTAATTCAATGTAGACGTGTTTGTTCTGCAAAGAGCAAACTGCAAACACAGCATTGCAAATACTAGATAGAAGTGTATTTATTTCAGCCTCCAGGATGCTCTGTCACAGATAGGATAGGCTAGGATAGGTGTAACCAGCAGAGGCCTCCTTCCTGGGTAACGCATCCCACTGAAGTCTTTACAAAGTCGAATTTATTAGATGGCTAGAAGTGTGAGGATTGAGTTGGCGAGGAGGGGCTCCATTTCCCTCCCTCCTCTCCTCCTTCCCCAGGCAGCTGAGTGACACAAATGTGACAGGAGCCGCCGCTGCCAAACCCATCGCCGTGTCTATTCAGCATCCTCTGCCAGAGCCTCAGCCCACCTGCCAGACACGTAACCAGGTGGGGAGGGCCTCATGGCTGCAGCCTCCCCTGACACTTCATCATCGCCTTTCCACACACAAACACACACAGGGGAAGTGAAGGCAGAGGCAGAACCTACAACAAATGGAAAATACAACAAATGCAAGAGGAAACAAACGCCCCGGGGTGGAATCAACTGCTTAGGTGTTTGAGGTGATGGCTTTTCTTCTCATAGAGGCATTAAAGGAAGATGGACAAACCTCCGGAAAGAATAAGTCATAGAAGGAAACAACAAATGCAGCCGGTCTAAATTCTCCTGGTTCAATCTAAATTCTCTGGTTCAATTTAAATTCCTGGTTCAATTTAAATTCTCCTGGTTTAGTCTAAATTCTCCTGGTTCAATCTAAATTCTCCTGGTTCAATCTAAATTCTCCTGGTTTAATCTAAATTCCCCTGGTTCAATCTAAATTCTCCTGGTTAAATCCGAATTCTCCTGGTTTAATCTAAATTCTCCTGGTTCAATCCAAATTCTCCTGGTTTAGTCTAAAGTCTCCTTGTTCAATCCAAATTCTCCTGGTTTCGTCTAAAGTCTCCTTGTTCAATCCAAATTCTCCTGGTTTAGCCTAATTGTACAGGTTTACTCCAAATGCTCCTGGTTTAATCTAAATTCTCCTGGTTTAATCTAAATTCTCCTGGTTCAATCCAAATTCTCCTGGTTTAGTCTAAATTCTCCTGGTTCAATCCAAATTCTCCTGGTTTAATCTAAATGCTCCTGGTTCAATCCAAATTCTCCTGGTTTAGTCTAAAGTCTCCTTGTTCAATCTAAATTCTCTTGGTTTAGTCTAAATTCTCCTGGTTCAATCCAAATTCTCCTGGTTTAATCTAAATTCTCCTGGTTTAGCCTAAATTGTACAGGTTTAGTCCACATTATCCTGGTTTAATCTAAATTCTCCCAGTTTAATCTAAATTCTCTTGGCTTAATCCAAATTCCTTGGTTTAGTCTAAATTCTCCTGGTTTAGTTTAAATTCTCCTGGTTTAGGCTAAATTTTCCTGGTTTAATCCAAATTCTCCTGGTTTAGTCTAAATTCTCCTTTTAGTGTAAATTCTCCTCTTGTTTTCTAAATTCTCCTGGTTTAGTCCAAATTCTCCTGGTTCAATCTAAATTCACCTGGTTTAATCTAAATTATCCTGGTTTAGCCTAAATTCTACAGGTTTAGTCCAATGCTCCTGGTTTAATCTAAATTCTCCTGGTTCAATCTAAATTCTCCTGGTTCAATCCAAATTCTCCTGGTTCAATCCAAATTCTCCTGGTTTAATCTAAATTCTCCTGGTTTAACCTAAATTGTACAGGTTTAGTCCAAATGCTCCTGGTTTAATCTAAATTCTCCTGGTTGAATCTAAATTCTCCTGGTTCAATCTAAATTCTCCTGGTTTAGCCTAAATTGTACAGGTTTAGTCCAAATTATCCTGGTTTAGTCTAAATTCTCCCATTTTAATCTAAATTTTCTTGGCTTAATCCAAATTCTCCTGGTTTAGTTTAAATTTTCCTGGTTTAATCCAAATTCTCCTGGTTTAGTCTAAATTCTCCTGGTTTAATCAAAATTTTCCCTTTAGTGTAAATTCTCCTCTTGTTTTCTAAATTCTTCTGGTTTAGTCCAAATTCTCCTGGTTCAATCTAAATTCTCTTGGTTTAATCTAAATTATCCTGGTTTAACCTAAATTCTACAGGTTTAGTCCAAATGCTCTTGGTTTAATCTAAATTCTCCTGGTTCAATCTAAATTCTACTGGTTTAGCCTAAATTGTATAGGTTTAGTCCAAATTGTCCTGGTTTAGTCTAAATTATCCCAGTTTAATCTAAATTCTCTTGGTTTAATCCAGATTCTCCTGGTTTAGTCTAAATTCTCCTGGTTTAGTCTAAATTCTCCTGGTTCAATCTACATTCTCCTGGTTTATTCTAAATTCTCCTAGTTTAGTCTAAATTCTCTTTGTTTAATCCAAATTCTCCTGGTCTATGCTAAATTCTCCTGGATTAATCCAGATTCTTCTTGTTTAATCTAAATTCTCCTGGTTTAGTCTAAATTCTTCTGGTTTAATCCAAAATTCTCCTGGTTTAGTCTAAATTCTCTCCTTGTTTAACCCCTTCATTCCTGCTTCTCCCAGCCCTTTAAGGGGTTTCTGACACCGGCGTCACGGCAGTCACATGATCGGAAAGGTCCCAATCGCAAGGGGAGATCGGGACCTTTCCGTGGGACGCTGACACGTGCTGGGAGCACGCAGGGCGCACACTCTCAGCACATGTTTGTTCACAAATGGTATGCAAATATGCGGCTACTCGGCATCAAGGCCCAGCCACCGAGAAGCCACATATTTGCGTACTGTCGGCGTAAAGAGCTTCATCTAAATTCTCCTGGTTTAGGTTAAAATCTCCTGGATTATTCCAGATTCTTCTGGTTTAATATAAATTCTCCTGGTTTAGTCTAAATCCTTCTGGTTTAATATAAATTCTTCTGGTTTAATATAAATTCTCCTGGTTTAATATAAATTCTCTGGTTTAATCTAAATTCTTCTTGTTTAATCTAGATCTGATCAGAAGATCCATGCATTCCTATTAATAGGCAGGTGTAAATGGACTTGTATCCGTTCATATCTGCCTACCTCCCATCCGATCCAGTCTACTGAAAGAAAAAAAATGGAAGGGGATCCATTGTCTTCCATTTACGGGGATCGGAGAGCAGTTGTGTATAAACAGACACAGGGGTCCATTTACTCCGGCCACCCATAGAGCAGAGTGGGCTCTCTCCATGTCCCCCCTGCAGAAAAGGAGCGGACACGGACCTGTCATCAGTCCGCTCTGCCCTGATCAATGGGGGCCAACTCACAGATCCACTGCCGATCGCAACAGAATGCACCCCATATGAAAGGGGCCTTAGTCTAAATTCTCCTGCTTACGGTGTATTTCCACCAATTTTGCAACAATTTCGTTTTTTTTTTATATAACAAACATGTTATACTTACCTGCTCTGCACAATGGTAATGACACAAACAGCTTTTTACGAGAGTGTGACATCATTACTTCGAGATTGAAAAAAACGGGGCTATAGGGAATGGCACGTTAATAGGGCCATCCATATGGCCTCCAAAAAGGACAGAACAACTCTACTTGGTAATACAAATAGGAGAGTTGTTTCTAAAATCACTGGAAACAATCCTGTTACTTTTGTAACTACTTTCTCTCAAAATTCAACCAGATCAAGAATAATATTTCTAAATACACTGGCCACTTTATTAGGTACACCTGTTCAATTGCTTGGTAACAAATTGCTACTCAGCCAATCACATGGCAGAAACTCAATGCATTTAGGCATCTAGACATGGTGAAGACGGCTTGCTGAAGTTCAAACTGAGCATCAGAATGGGGAAGAAAGGGGATTTAAAGTGGAACTTCACTCTCTCAGTCAACGTGGACTATTTTTAATCCTTATGCTGCTAGCATTAGTAAATGCATAGAAAAGTATATCATATTTACTTGTTTTAAACTGTTTTTTTTTTTACATTTCTTTAGTTACTTCCTAGTTTCCATGCCTTGGAAAATTATGTCATACATCCCAGGAGCAGGGGCAGACTGACCATTTGAGCACTCGGGCACTACCTGAGGGCACGTGATCAGTAGGGGGCCCCATGAGATGCCCCTGGTACCTTTCATTGGCTTTTTCATAGGCTTTTTTGGGTGTGGGCGAGGACACAGGGGCTCCATGATCCCCTATTGCCCGGGGGGCCCCATGAGTTATCAGTCCGCCCCTGTCCAGGAGTCTTGAGGAGGAGTTTCTTAGATAAGCACACCCTTCTGCCCTTACTCAGGATAGACACAGCCAAAAATACTAGGAGGTGTTTTTCTAAGTGATTTCTATGCAAAATAAAGCATGGTGATATGGATGGATGGGGGAGTTTTCTTTGAATATTAAAGATAAATTAACGCTTTTGGTTTGTGGTGCTCAGATACAGTGTAATTCCGCTTTAAGTGACTTTCAATGTGGCATGGTTGTTGGTACCAGACGGGCTGGTCTGAGTATTTCAAAAACTGCTGATCTACTGGGATTTTCATGCACAACAATCTCTAGGGTTTACAGAGAATGGTCCGAAAAAGAGAAAATATCCAATGAGCAGCAGTTGTGTGGACAAAAATGCCATGTTGATGTCAGATGTCAGAGGAGAATGGGCAGACTGGTTCGAGATGATAGAAAGGCAACAGTAACTCATGTCGACAGGGCCGGTGCTAGACTATTTTGCACCCTAGGCAAGACCAGCTACTTGACCTGCCCAAAAAAAAATGTAAAAATAGAAAATATGAAATCAACAAAACATGAAACTGATAAATTTCTTTTAATTTGCAAAAATAAGTGCCATAAGATTTCGCCAGCACCAATATTAAAGACAAAATCAGTGTCACGTACAGACTGTATCTGTGGCTGCAGTGGCAGGGTGACAGTTGCAGTGGGTGGAGGATGAAGGATCCACACTCTGACAGATCCCAGGCTGGAATTCCCCAGGTTATGGGGGGAGATAAAACACTGTGACATCAGGCAGCTGAACTGAGTGATCCCACGTAATGACAGATCCGACACAATACACCACCACCAACACTGACACAGATCAGCAGGCACTAGAAGAGCAGGCTGTGGGATCGTGATGATGTCATCACTGACTGATACATTGCACATGTGATGGAATGTCCGGCCGGCTGGGTCACACTCACACAGACACGAGACATCAGAGACATTACCTTCCTCCGCAGGCACAGCTCTGCCTCCGTTATTGAATAGGAAGAGAAGGGCTTGCAGTAAGGGACTGGGTCTGAGAGGAACACTGGAAGGAGCGCCAGCTCAGCTGCTACACTAGCCCCAGACACCTGGCATCTTCCTCTGTCCTTTCCTCCTCCCCTATGCTGCTCCTCCCCTCAGCTGAAGGATCATTCATGACGTGGCGGCATCCCACACAGAGAGAGAGTGCCGGCCTGTGCTGCGCCCAGGTACCCCTAGATGGCAGTGTACCCTAGATGGTCACCTAATTTGGCTAGTGGAAGCACCGGCCCTGCATGTCAATATGGTCCAAAATCACTGAGGAATTTTTTCCAACACCTTGTTGAATCTATGCTATGAAGAATCAAAGGCAGTTTTGAAGGCAAAAGGGGTCCAACCTGATATTAGCAAGGTGTACCTAATAAAGTGGCAGAGTGGGGTCAGTGCATGCTAAAGTGCAGAGTGCGCAGAAGTCACCAACTGTCTGCAGAGTCAATAGCTAAAGACCTCCAAACTTCCTGTGGCCTTCGGATTAGCACAACAACAGTGCATAACGAGTTTCATGAAATGGGTCTCCATGGCCGAGCAGCTGCATTCAAGCCTTACATCACCAAGTGCAATGCAAAATGTTGGATGCAGTGGCGTAAAGCACGCTGCCACTGGACTCTAGCAGTGGAGATGTGTTCTCTGGAGTGATGAATCACACTTCTCTGTCTGGCAATCTGATGGACGTGTCTGGGTTTGGAGGTTTCCAGGAGAATGGTACTTGCCTGACTGCATTGTGCCAAGTGTAAAGTTTGGTGGAGGTGGGATTATGGTGTGGGGTTGCTTTTTCAGGGATTGGGCTTGGCCCCTTAGTTCCAACGAAGGGAACTCTTAAGGCGTCAGCATACCAAGACATTTTGGACAATTTCATGCTCCCAACTTTGTGGGAACAGTTTGGGGATGACCCCTTCCTGTTCCAACATGACTGCACACCAGTGCACAAAGCAAGGTCCATAAAGTCCCAACCTCAACCTGATAGAATGCAATGAGACTGCGAGCCAGGCCTTCTGGTCCGACATCAGTGCCTGACCTCACAAATGCTCTTCTGGAAGAATGGTCAAACCTTCCCATAGACACCCTCCCAAACCTTGTGGACAGCCTTCCCAGAAGAGTTGAAGCTGTTATAGCTGCAAAGGGTGGGCAAACTCAATATTGAACCCTACAGACTAAGGATGCCATTAAAGTTCATGTGCGTGTAAAGGCAGGCGTCCCAATACTTTTGGCAATATTATTATTATACAGGATTTATATAGCGGCAACAGTTTGCTCAGCGCTTTACAATATGAAGGGAGACAATACAGCAACGATAAAGTTCAATACAAGAGGGTTAGGAGGGCCCTGGCCTTGGAGCTTACAATCTAAGAGCAATATAGTGTATGTTGTTGAATGCAGCACATGTACACTTCAGTATTTCGGATGTCCATCTAGATCCCTTTGGGCTAGGATCAGGGAGCACTACAATGGTGTTTCCTACACTAGTGATAAGATTTTATCAAATGTTTCCAAGCATTTCAAGTATAATCATGCTGGTAATATGAGTTCATTTATGGTTTGGAAAGAGTCAAGAGATCTATATGTGGGGTGATATCCATTGCAGACTTCTCGAGAGATAAGTGGATTTTCACCCTAGGTACCAGAATTCCACACTGGCTTAAATTCCAGATGGGATGTAGATCTTTTTCTCAAATGATTTATATAATTTTTTGACACAGTTTCATTTGTCCATTTACAAATCTTTTTTTTTAGAGATTATGGTCAGTTTTTTATTTCTTTTACAATTTTTTTCTAGGCACCAAGTTTTGATTCCGATACCAGCATATTCCAGCACACTGAACACTTGCTTTTACATAGGATCCAAGCCAGCAATCCTTTCTCTTCTTTTGCCATTATTGCAATGCCGCTTTTTCTTGTTCTTTTTTCGTCTTTACATCAGATTTTTATTTTAATGGAATGAATATAATTGTTTATGAGGGGTGGAGTTTATTGTCTATATGTTATGTTGTATACTGCGTATTGTGCTGTGATCAAGGCTATCTGCCAAAATGCGTTAGCTCTTTTCTATCCCATTACTCACTACGATGTAAGGAATACAGCAGTTTATATGGATCCAGGAGTTGCCAACTCTTCTCTTTGCTGTTGCACAGAGCAGCCCCAATCTTCCTCTCCTGGGGTCCCCCGCAAGTGCTCCTGGCTCCTCCCCCTGATGAATGCCCTTGCATTGCTATGGGGCACTTGTGCAGGCACAAGCCAGGCTCTGTGTGTCCATTAGACACACAAAGTGTGGCTCAGCTCCAACCCCCACTCCCTCCTCCATGGCTGTGATTGATAGCAGCAGGAGCAGAGGAAAAATCATCCAATGGGGACACTTTGGGGCCATTGGAAATATATCCTCTCACTTCCTGTTGTATCTACATCCAGGGTGGTTGGGTTTTACCAACTACACCATATTGTGGGCAGGGTGGGAAACTGTGCACAATCTAACATTAACCTCCCTAGCGGTCTGATTATGTCAGTATTTCTGTGCTCAAAGCGGTACATTATTGTCAATGGAAATATGTTGGTTTTTTATTGTAGGCCTGTAATTCTTAGGAATAACTCACTGAAATCTTTCCGAACAAGAGTCTAGAAAACATCCCGGGTATGATAACATTTGAAACAAGAAATCATAAATTATAATATAATAAATAATCATAAAAAATAATAATATAATAATAAATTTAATTCAATAATGTAATCAAACCAAAAACACTGAAATTTGAAATATAGCGCCAAGTTCGCACATCACTGAGCAAAGTCGCAAAATCGTTTTCGGTGTCTGATGACGAATTTCCCCACGAATCATTATCACTCAATTCTGCAAGTGGTTCTAATTTACTATCGCTGTTCTCTAGCCGGTCTAAAACCGATTTTGACCTAAAGGGACACTTTTTGGACGCCATTGACATTTCTCAGTTTCCAGGCAGAAAGAACAGTAAAAATGCAGGCAGGGCACAGGACAAAGCACTCGGGACAAAATGTATGTGAAATGGTTTGATACAGTAATGTAATACTATCAGATTTTAGTGTATTAAGTGAATATCAAATTTTTACAATTTTGAAATTCCCACCGGTTCCGTCCCCCGTACGTCCTGACGCTCGCAGGGAACAGAACCCGGAAGATGAATGCCGGCATCGGCCGGAGGACATGGCCGAGGACGCTGCAGGGGGGACATCGCAGGAGCGCAGGACAAGGTAAGTGCTTCAGGGATCCCAGAGCAACGCTGCAGTGTAATCCCGAGTGTAGCTTGGGGTTACCACTTTTGGTACTGAAAGTTAACCCCGAGCTGCACTCAGGAATACTGCCAGGGGGGTTAAAGCACTCTCCCGACTTACATAGAAATGAGCTGACACTGTATGTAGAAAGAAGCTGCGTTCCTGATAAAGTGCTGTCCCGTAGCTCTACAGACAGTGACTATAATGTGTTGCCTTCAAAGTGGCAGGTAGAGCTGCACCGCATTCACCAATCAGTGTACCTCTGTTACCTCACTCCCAATAACAGAATGAGATCCCGTCAGACACCTATACAGATCTCATGTGTGTCGTATATTAACGCTTCCTTTTCCGCACCGTACAGTTACAGGTACACAGGGCCACAATAATGCTGATCTGCTCCCGGTTGCTATGGGAGATGGACTGCCAGGGAGGGAGCCCAAGTAGCGACTCCGTCCCTACTGGAGGATACCTCACCTTACCCGGGTACCACACCTGGACTGGTTGCTTGGTGTCTTCCATACACTTGGTTACCATTAGCAACAACTTTGCTATTCCTTAGCGCACTGACTTGACTTCTATGTTCCTTAAGGTCACCATATACAGTACAATCTGACTTCACAACCTTTATACAATCAACTTTAGATTTTCCAAAGCTATGTAATATGAGGAAATACCTAAACTAGCCAAT